ACATACAGCATACTGCAGATTTGTCCTCCCCGGCCCCTTCACATTTGGTCAATCCAGGAGGTCTCCGTAGCAGGATTCTAAGTCAAATTTGAAGTCGCTTCACTGTCACCTGTGAACCGAGATATTTCCAGATATGCAGTGATTTTCATCCCCAAGTCAAAGTGGGGGCAAATCCTCTGGGTCATTTCAAAGAAAATGTCATTCCACCAACAGGTCACTTGCGTGGCCAGGTGCCACATTGGTATCGCAACATATCGCACAACGCAGTGCTCTTGTGACATGTTCCATTCTTGGACAGGGAGAATCACTGGTGGTTTCAATTAACATATCTTGATGTTTCTCCCACTATTTGGCATGACGGTTCCGATTGTCTGAAATATGGTCCGAAACAACAAAGCAGTGAGAAACTTCTCGACCCTTTGCCAGGAGCGTGGAAGGCGAACCGAACAGAGGGTGTGGGCGAACATTTGGGGCTCAAGCAAGGAGTTAAGGAGTAGCCTCCGGAGGATGAATTCCATTGAATTCCACTGCAAAAGCAATGCAGAAAAATCGCAGAACAGATTCATTTGTGCCTTCTGGAACTCCTGAAAGCTCTCTCAAATAAAAGAGCGCCGACTCCAAAGTTGTTCCTTCTCAATTCATCTGGTTTTGTGCTCTTATCAAAGATAGGATACCCTTGGTTTCTTCAGTGATTCATGATACTTTTCTCATTGACATGGCCATGTACAGGAAGAGGCCCCCCTACAGGTAGTTGCAAGCTGGTACCCCCTATAGACCATAGTTAACCTAGTTATAAGTCAACTTAGCTAACAAACTGGGGTCCCTGGGGTATACCCCATTTCCACGAAACTTTCGGCCAGGCCCAGTCGGGGAATGGCGAAAGCGGAGCGCCGAGGCGGTTCGTCATGGTGGTTTGACTAGTCATGGGAGTACCCCAAGCTCGCTGGATGGTTTATTTTGATGGTCATGGGGGTACCCCTATTTTAGGAAACCTCCATATATAATTATATATTATATATATATAATATATATATAATCAAAAGTTATATCCTAGTGATACCAACTTCTGCTATACTTCTAAATTATATACTATGAAATATGTGACCCGTATTCGGGGGTTTTGATGGATCCTGGGTAAACATTGATGAGGCAAACCCAGTATGGGTGGTTGAATCTTATAAAATAGCATTGATCGGGGGATGAACATCCATTTACATACATTTGCCAGCTATCTACATGTTCACCATGGTACAGTGTGTTTTGACCTGTAGCCATAATTATGGGATAATCTGGGAGAATTATGGGATAAGTCGGATAAGTATGATAACACATCTCTGGTTGGTGTGTATGAGTTTGGATACCAGTACCCTGTCTTTAGGGATGATGTTCATTACAAACTCGTTTGAATTTCTTCGAGTTGGATTGGTTGGATTTTCTTGAATCTCCCACTGAACATGGTTTTTAGGCCTCTGTCACCATGGAAATGGATGGAAATGGCAATCCACTTGGGAACAAGCTGGATTCTGGCCACCGGTCTGTCCAAGAAGGATCGAACCTCATCATTTCCACATGTCCAACTTTTCTATTTTGGCCTTGCAAACTGTCAGTTAGTAAAGCAATCGTAAACCGGCCATTTTTTGAAGATTTACACCCAGTAAAATTGGGGATGGATGGTTCACTATTGCTTTACGAACATGTTGATTTAACCGTTACCCTCTGGTAAACTAACATAACTATGGAAAATCACCATTTTTAATGGGAAAATCAACTGTAAATTGCCATTTTCAACAGCTATATAACTTATATAACAAATTACCAGAGGGTAAACATGTGATATCTCTATTCCTTCTGCAGGTCCTGGTCAAATTTCCAGGCGCGGAGTGGCGGAGGTGACCATAGCCCGAGCATGTTTTCACGGCAAAAAACCAGCAGATTTCGGGGGTACACCATGGTTTATGCCATTTTTGTAACGAATGATCCATTTGGAACTTTTTTTGACGAATTATGAACCAGTCGATGACGTTTAAAAACCAGTTGATCATTTTTCCCAAGTTTGAAGACCGCAACGGTGTTCCATCTAGTGATTCCATGCCATGAACGGCCCCAATCGTCACAATGATGTTTTTACCAGTTCAATCTGGCAAGGCTACCCAGTAAAAGAAGGGAACAGGCCCATCTTTCAAATTGAAAAGGCTGTAACCTCATGCTCTCCGCCATGGCAGGGATGAGTATAGGTATATACTTTAGATGTCCTGTCAAATGGGATCTCAAACATGACCCCTTGTCTGCTGTGGATATGCCTGAATACTGTCCTAAAGCCAACAAGCTCCCATTTTTGGATTACCATATAATATATTACCTATCTATAATACCATATATTACCATATATTACCATATATTACCATATATTTCTCACATATTTTGGATTAGCTGAGTGTTTTTGCCATGGCAACTCGGGCATCCTCTAGGGACCGGCGCGACACGGAGCGCACGGAGCGACGGGTGGGAGGCCGAGGTGATGGGATGGTTGAAACGCCGAGGTGATGGGGGTTGTTCATGGTTGGGGTCATCCCAAAATCACCCAAAATTTCAGGTTGGTGGATTATTGCAGTGTAAACATTCTCCCAGGTACAGATGATCGATCCCATGCAAAATGTTGATCAACAGCTTGAAACTTGAAAAAAGCTTAGCTTTCAAAGTAGTATGTTTTGTTTTATTATTTAAAGCTAAAGGTTTAGTTCAGAAACATGGCAAGATGCGCAAGACAAGAAGGTTTCGACCGACAGCTCGGGATGAGTAGTCCGATCCACTGATCTGTTTTTGGGCCGCCATTCACCATGGATGTGATTTCATGAGACCAAACTAGTGGCATCAGAGGAAATGAGGGCAACTGGAAGTAATGTGTATATATACATATATACATATATACATATATACATATATATATACATATATACATATATACATATATACATATATATATATATACATATATATATATATACATAAATATATATATATACATATATATATATTATTATGATTATTATTATTCTTATTATTATTACCAGTAGTACCGCACAAGGCGGTGGCGGAAGTTTCAGAATAGGAAACCTATAGGAGACGTTGGTTGTTGTGAATCACGGATGGCAGAGCGAATCCACTGATTGACCGAAAGGTGGTTGGAGTTGTGTTTGCTGGAATGGTTGCAATGGTTGCAGTGGTCACCTCACCCACAACTGCTGGATGTTGTGTGATGTACTGCAACTGTAGTTGTAGTTGTAGCGTAGTGGAGTTGTAGTTGTGGTGTAATGTAATTAGTGTAGTGTAGTTGCAGTCATATAGTTGTAGATGTAGTTGTTTTGTAGTTGTAGTTGTAGTTGTAGTTGTTGTAGTTGTAGTTGTTGTTGTAGTTGTAGCTGTAGTTGTTGTGTGGTTGTAGTTGTTGTGTAGTGTAGTAGTAGTAGTAGTAGTTGTTGTTGTAGTTGTTGTAGTTGTTGTAGTTGTTGTAGTTGTTGTTGTTGTTGCAGTAGTAGTAGTAGTAGTTGTTGTTGTAGTTGTTGTAGTTGTTGTAGTTGTTGTAGTTGTAGTTGTTGTTGTTGCAGTAGTAGTAGTAGTAGTTGTTGTTGTTGTAGTTGTAGTTGTAGTAGTTGTTGTTGTTGTTGTTGTAGCTGTAGTTGTCGTAGTTGTAGTTCTAGTTGTAGTTGTTGTGTAGTTGTAGTTGTAGTTGTTGCTGTTGTTGTTGTTGTTGCTGTTGTTGTAGTAGCAGTTGTAGTTGTAGTTCTAGTTGTAGTTGTCGTGTAGTTGTTCTAGTTGTAGTTGTTGTGTAGTTGTAGTTGTAGTTGTAGTTGTTGCTGTTGTTGGTGTTGTTGTTGCTGTTGTTGTTGTAGTAGTTGTTGTAGTTGTAGTTCTAGTTGTAGTTGTCGTGTAGTTGTTGTAGTTGTAGTTGTTGTAGTTGTTGTGGTTGGTGTTGTTGTTGTTGTGGTTGTGGTTGGTGTTGTTGTTGTTGTTGTTGTTGTTGCTGTTGCTGTTGCTGTTGTCGTCGAAGTTAGGGTAGTTAAGTTAGTGAAGTTAGTTAAGTTAGTTAAGTTAATCAGTGTCTACTTTTTCGACATCTTCAAGTCAAAAAAGGCTCAAAACCCTCAGTTGTTTACACTTGTGACTTCGAAATGTGCTTCGCGCCACAACGGCGTGCACTTTTTTGACACTTTTTCGACATCTGAACCTCCAAAAGTGGTCCGAGACCGTCAGTTTTTAACACTTTTGACTTGGAAATGTGCTTCGCGCCACAACGGCGTGCACTTTTTCAACATCTCAACTTCCAAAAGTGGTCCGAAGCTGAGGTGTTTTCTACATTTTGACTTGGAAATGTGCTTCGCGCCACAACGGCGTGCACTTTTTCGACATCGCAACTTCCAAAAGTGGTCCGAAGCTGAGGTGCTTTGTACATTTTGACTTGGAAATGTGCTTCGCGCCACAACGGCGTGCACTTTTTCGACATCGCAACTTCCAAAAGTCATCCGACGCTGAGGTGTTTTGTACCTTTTGACTTGGAAATGTGCTTCGCGCCACAACGGCGTGCAATTTTTCATCGCTCCTGTGACCAGCTGGCTCCGCACCCGCCGCTTTAGCGAGCCTACTTTTCGACCCTCCTGAGCCACAAATCATTGGAAAAACACAGTGTTTCGCGACTTTTCCTACCTTTTCGCGCATCTGTATCTTCTTTCTTCTGACTCTTTCTCTTCTCATCTTCTCTCTTCTAATCTTCCTCTTCTCTCTGCCTCTCCCCTACTCTGCTTTTCATCTGTCCATATTGTCGGAATTTTGACTTCTAAACTTCCTTCGATGATGATGATGATTATTATTATTATCATCATTATTATTATTATGGTCCCTGGATTTTTGTTGCCCCCCAAGGCGCCAACGGGACGTCGGCAGCGCGAACACTCGTGCCTTGGCGTTGAAGAACAACGATGGGAACGGATGGGTTGGAAGTTGGATGGGTGAAGGATTGATTGATTTCATGGGATTTAATGAGATTTTATTGGATTTTATGGTGGTTTAATGGGATTTGATGGTGGTTTCATGGTCATCTAATGGGATTTGCCCTCTGGTAAACATGATGATGTTTGTACTATGATGCCAGCCATCATTTGTGGGTTACCATCAATACCAGTTTTGAACTATGTTTTTGAAACCATTTCTTATACGTATGTTTCTTACAACTGATTTGAACATCTTTGAACTAACTGAACTGAACTATGTTTTTTTTTCAGATAGCCTTACTGGAACGTGACGGGTGGACATGCTTTATATATATATATATGTTTGGGAGGGATTAAATCGCTCAAGACCAAAATCTGCTGTTTCTGAAATCTGATTGTGGATTCCTCACAATGGAAGTAGGGTCTTGCGTCCCAATTCCCAGTCAATTGGTGTTTTCCCAAGTCGCCCAAATGGTTCTACAATGTTACAATAATTAGGCACCATCCTGGGTTGAGGCCCTAAATGTTGAGATCATTTGCTGGTAAAAGAAGGAAAACCATCTCAGGAAACAGGATGATCGGTTTTTCAAGATAGGCATCAGTGCGAAAGAACACGTTGTTTATTGTTTGTTTGATGTTTAGATAAACTTCACTCTTGGTTTCCTGCTCCCAATATGGACGATTGACTATTGTGATTTGTCGTCGCACATTGGTGAAGATCGAGGCTCAAACACTCCCAATGAAATGATCCAAATATAATACAGTATATCATATGTGTGAAGTGCGTTGGCTTCTCTATTTGCCATTTCTGTAAAATTCAGAAACTATTTCTTGCACAGGTAGAAACCATTTGCTAGATAAGCAGAATATGTAAAACCAATTGCTAAGCAAAGTAGAAAATGTAGAAACAATTTGCTAAATCATGTTGATTTACCAGGAACCATTACTTAAATCAAAGGGTAATAGATGCAAGTGAAAATTGTTACTGACCATGTTATGAGGTAACCTATTTCAATCTTGGAACAGTCATTTGCCAATAGTAGTTGGTGGTGAGAAAGAACCAATGTCTTTACCCCACATGCCAGTTCAATTGTACTAGCGCCTCCTTCACCCGAGGTTCACCACAGTGAAACTGTTGACGCTTGAAATTTGAAACCATCTAGCATCCAAGTGGGAGTACTATCACATCATGCCAGTTGTAATGCTTTTTCAATCGAGGAAAGGGTGTGTATCGAACAACAGCAAAAGCATGGCATACTCTGTGCCCAATGCACTTCGTCCCAAATGCGCCATACAACATTGCGAATACGTCGCGATACCTTCAAGTTGTGGGATCCAAAAAAAATGTTCTCCACACAAAACCCATGTGGCTGATAGCCTTTGCGGGTGAGTTGGCGGATGTTGTTAGCCGGGTTTTGCCACTTGGCATTTTTGACACCTCAGAGGATACCCAAGTCAGGGATTTCCCCCAAGAGTCGAGACTGGGGTGTGCTTGAACTTTTTCTCTATCTGTCCGGGTCTGTCGGGGAGGCTGGGGAGCCCGGTTTCTTCGGGAGCCTACCAGCTTAACCAAAGGAAACTATTACGTAAATCCCAGAAACTATTTCTTAAATCCTAGAAACTAATAGAAACTTTATTTTCCCAGAAGCTATTTCTTAAATCCTAGAAACTATGTCTTAAATCCCAGAAACTATTTCTTGAATCCAAGATAATCCAAGAAACTATTTCTTAACTCCCAGACACGAGTTCTTAATCTGGGCCCCAAGCCCAGAAACTATTTAAAATTTTACCAATCCCAACCATTGGACAAGGATAGCAGTCAATCGCTCGAAGTCCAGAGATTACCCCACACAAGTGAACCATGTCCTCACCAAGAGAGAAAGGCTGCCAGGCTGTTGGTGCAGGCGTTCTTCATTCTCTTTCGTTCTATGTTCATTGACTCCTTATCTCAGAATCAGGCCCTGTTACTTTCTCACTACTCAGTCTGTAAACAGTTTTCATATGTTTGCATACTATAACATAATCAGTGTCTATATTTCTCACCTTGAGTTACATGTATCATTATTAGTATAATGTTTTGTTTGATGATTTAAAGCAGAATAAGAGTATCACAGAAACCGTTTCAAGCCGTTTCCGACTACTTTCTAGGTAATAGTCCGAAACCGTTTCAAACCGTTTCCTGCTACTTGCTACTTCGCTCTGGCAAACACTCCAAATAGTTTCAAATAGTTTCTAAGTATGGCTAATTAGCAAATAATCCGAAGCCGTTTCAAACCGTATCATAGTACTTACTAGGTAGTAGCCCGAAACCGTTCCAAACCGTTTCAACTGCTGTACTTGGTGGTCTTCAACCCGTACATACCCGTATTAACCTCTACATAACTTCATATAGTCCCTAGATGAGATGACTTGAAATCCATTTACGTTGTACCTGGGATTTGCCACATGTTGGAATTTTCCATGGTTTTCCATTGAGAAATTATTGGATAAATCCAATGGATACATGGATAATTTATGGAAAATTGAATTTTCTATAGTTTATCCATGTTAACCAATAACACATCATCTGGATAAATTTGATGAAAACCTCATAGCGACGTGATTATAATGATGATTAGGATCGGGGTACATAACTGTCCCAAAAGGACCGAACTTTTGAGGTTAAGAAATGAACAAATACTGTTAATATCTTTTGACTATCATTTATACAAAAATCATGGACTAAACAAAACCAGGTTACAAAATTATATATGGAATGATATGGAATATCATAATATCATGCAATATCCCCATTATCCTACACACGGGCGAGTTATCGCCATCTCCCGAGGCGCCGGCATCGTGAGGAAGGCCATGAGTTCCTGGGATGTTGATCCATGGTTACCCCGTAGATATGTAGGTTTTAAATGCGTATTGTATAGATGTATACTGTACATCATACATATATATATATATAATGATATTTATTTATATATTATTATATATATACACAGAATTATCTACGTAATTCTATATGTCATGTACTATGTTGTGACCTGTTGTGATGCGCACTTGTGTTAGAACCATGGTTGACAAACAACTGCTACGAAGGTTTACGGCATCCACACAATGATTTGTCGTTTGATCACCCCTAACTGCCCACTTGAACACCGTTTTTTTGAGTGGATGCATTTTTTTCTATAAAGACAACATTTCATTTCTCTAAAACTGGAGTTCCCAATTTCCCTTTTTTTAAACTCCAATTTTTGCTACAAAAAAAAACATCTCCAATGTACACAGTGGCGCGCGAAGCCTTGCAAAGGCACATGCGGATGCGGTGATATCTATTTTTGCGGCGACTCTTTGCGTAGGTTACAATATACAGACATAATGAAACATAATGACACTTTGTGCAACCGGGAAAGCACCTTGAACGCAGGCATTAGCAGAAAAACACACATAGGCACCCTTCCAACAAAACCCATCAAGCGTGTAGGCCGGGCGTAGTAGCCTTGGCGAAGGTTGTTTCCAGTGCAAAGGAACCAAGCACCAAATGAAAAATCGAACGAAACAACCAGAGATCATACTAAATTGGCCAATCTTCTTCGGGAAATGGTTCTACCTGTCCACTTCGGAGTTTTCCACATATAGGGCTATAGTCAAGTCATAGTTGAGGAATTGAGGTGATTTGATTCCTTTGCCCTTCCTCGCCTTGGCTTTGTCATCAATCTCTTCTGCATCCTGTTGTCGGGGCGCTCAGCTGTTGGGAACATGTCAGTTGGAGGTTTGAAGCCACATGTTCTTGGAGAGCCTGACCTTGGAATTTGTTTCAATTTGAGCACCTTTAACATTCTCAATTGGAAAGCTACAGAAATTAGCTCTTTCAGTTTGAGCTTGGAATTTTGTGTCATTTTTCAGCATCTTTTGCTCAAACCACTCGGGCACGCTTTTTAGCTTAGGGGTGTCGGCATGTTCATGGCGCACATCCGTTTTGTCGCTTGCCTCATGATGAGGCAAGCGACAAAACGGATTCATCATCCTTGCATTGAGCGCTGGAGCTGCAGACACCAACAGCACGGGCATCGCGGGTTACTCGCAAAACACGAGCTGGAAACATGTCGGGTATCATGAAAAAAATCTTCATCATCATCATGATGGGCATGGTCCTGGGCCCTGGAGAAAAGAGACGGCACAAGATTATGACGGACCCGGCGAATTCACCCGTTGAGACAGGCATCACTTTCATCACGCCATTTGCTCGCCAATTTTGGCAACGAAGAAAGTGCGTGAGAACGCTTGCTTCGCCACCAGGGCGACTTGCAAAACAGGGCTCTTGGCTGATGCTTTTATGATTGACAAGGTCTGTAGGTAGCAAGGTTTCAGGGTGTCAAGTAGGAATAGGACATTGCTTCAATAGAGCATTGATGCCAGTGAGCCCTCAAAAGCTTGACATTCAGTGCATGCATGCCTGATACAAAGACAAACCCTTCCAAAAACTTGAGAAGACTGGCACAAACAAGTATGGACACACACACACACACAATCCTTTTCACTCCATTTCGCCTCAAAAGTTTGGATTACTGTGCCATTTACATCGCACTGAGGTTAAGAAGACATGGTTATCAACAAGTTCATGAAGGGCGGTTTGGGCATGGCAATTGCGGTAATGAAAGATGTGATGCTGTTGTGATATGCTAGTTTGTATGTATGCTGGTATGTATGCTGGGGGGTCGGATAGTATATTGGCTGGGGGCTGAGGCTTCCCCTATAGGGGGAGACTGTGGTAATTAATCCCATAATCTTCCTGATAAATGGTTATGAAAATTATGTTGGTTATCCCCATAAAATTGATAAAATAATTCTATTAAATTTATGTTGCAATTATTTTCTAGGACTATTTCAAGCAATTAAGTTTTCTAGAAAGAACACCTATGAAATAGATAAGGTAAGATGATGTATATTTGTATATGCTTTGATGAAAATTATTCAATACAATTATGATGATTATATTATATAATTTTTACGGATGAGACGGATGAGATGGGTTGATATGATGAGCTTGTTATGGTTTATGTTATTGGTTTTATTAATAGTAGGTTGTTAGGATTTGTTATTGTTGTTTTGTTGTTATGTTTTTGTTTGTATTTTGTTTGTAGTAGCCCATCAGTGTTGATTTCCAGCAGGTCGAAGGGAAGCGATGCACAGGCAGGGTGGATGTGAACTAATTATGATTGTTGCCCCTCAATGAATAGTAACCGTTTATTTCATTCGGAGTTGACATGGAAAACCCAAAGCGACCGCAGGTTGTTCAGCTGGGGAAGGCTGTACCAGTGGACCATGCACTTCTGGCATCAACGGTGCAGTGGTTGACATGTAGTTATGAGTACTGCAAGTGCAAAAGTGCAACCCAATGGAGAAAAAAGAACGACCGTTCAACTTGTTCAACTGGGATTGAATGACCGTAGCATGCAGGGTACCAAATGACCATAGATGACCATAGATGACCATAGAAGACCCTGTTGTGGTACCAGATCTTGCCCATGAATTCGTCCTGCCCCAAAGAAACGACCAATGGGGGATGTGGAATACGCAACATGTTTGGGATGGGTGTTTTAACCACCAGCAAGACGACATCATTTTAACATCTTTTAACATATTTTAACTGGTTGAAAGTTTCACCTCACGAGTCACCCGAATGGGGAATCCACAATGAACAATCCTGTATCAACCATTGGGATCCCATCTCAAAAGATCGGGTTCACTATCTTTCACTATCCCTCATGGTAATCAGTTATCTGAGAAGATAGGTGACCAAGTCAAAAATCCTGGTGTAACCCTGATGACCTTTTTATCTCAGATCGGACATATTCGGAAATAATCAACCATCTGAATGATGTATTTTTCGCTCTCCCGCACTGCGAGGTCACTGTAATGATGGTGGGTCGGTGAATACAAAACTATCGAGAATGATCCGCAATCTCATTCTAATTACCCTCTGGTAAACTAACATAGCTATGAAAATTCACCATCTTTAATAAGTAAATCAACTATAAATGGGCCATTTTCAATAGCTATGTTAAATTACCAGAGGGTATCATAATCCTCAATAATCAACCAGAGATTGGTAGGGGATCCCAACCAGGCGAGCACCTGAGCGAGAGACGCGGGAGACGCGGGATCGCAGGTCGCCGGCGAGTCGCCTTCCGGGAAAGTCCGGCGAGTTTTTTTCGTGGGAGTTCAGCATTAACCAATAGGGAAGTGATATGGGAGTGTCCATAGTCATGGGGATACCCCAAACTCGCTGGATGGTTTATTTCATTTTATTTCCATGGGAAAATCCTTTATGATGTTTATTTCGGAAAATCCTATCGACAAAAATGATTTAAATGGAGGATGACTGGGGAAACCCCCATGGATTGGAAACCTCCATTATTTGGCTCGATGATTTGACCAACGAGACCTCCATGGCTGATTTCCCGGCCACATGACCGGAGGGTAAACTGAATCTGGAGGGTTCATGTTGTTTCACAGATTTGTTGTATTTTCCACCTTATCCACCTTATAGACTTCTCACTATTTGGGATGATGATCCACATTAGCGAGATTTTTGGGGATGGGTTGAGACATCCAACCAGTCATAGATTTCCAATTGTGGGTCTGTTTCGCGACAATGACCTCGCCATAGCCTGAAGTGTTTGGGAGTGATCACGAATTACCAGGAGGCACAAAGGTTTTTGAAGGATCATTAGTCACAGACCCCCAGATGTTCACAGCAGGTTTTCGGGTAAAAAGGTATGCAACATCCAGACTCACTCTATACGCAGTGTAGGATCGCAAAATATCGCAGAAACCAAAGATCCGCATGGCAAATTCGCTCTTCGTAGTAAGATACAGTATGGGTAAGCAACCCATCAAACATTCGCCACCGTGTGACACTGGTAATGTAACCTGGGAATGGCAAATCTCACATGTTGCGCATTTAGATAGATGATGTACTTCTTTGTTTTTTTTGATTGTGTATGATTTTGTCAACTTGCATTTCGTTTTCATCGTCAAGTGTCAGATTACAAGAGGGTACAACACCTTTGTTTGTTGAATATTCCGTATGTCCTGGTTGAAGTTTTGCTAATTAGTTAAGATCACCATGTTTCCTGGTTTCAATTCCACATTGTGTTGGCTAAGCTAACATCACGATTCTTCTTGGTTTCAAAGCACCGACACTTGTTCTGGTTCCAAATCCTCATTCAATATGTTGGTAGCATCATTTTTCCCTGACTCAATCCGCATTTCCCAAAAAAAATGATAGACAAGGTATCCATTCCGATCATAAAATAGTAATATTTTGGTGATAAAAGTATCCCCAACTTTGGATGGGTAGTTCAATCCTAGGGTTTTTCGCGAAGCAGAGAACATGACATACGACAACCATAATCAGCAAACGATTACAAAATTGTGTAATAATTACCATGGTGATATAAGAAACACTAAGTTGGTATATGGGGCCCCTATTTCTATGGTTCTATAAGGAGGTGAAACCTAGAATGGGGATACCCCTAAAAAAAATCCTTTAAAATCGTAGGATGTTTCATTTATAATATAAACATGTATAAACATGTATAAACCATCCATTTTGGGGATCCTCCATGGACATCCCCATGTCACTTACTGGACCCTTTGGGCAGGAGAGGTGCCGAGCGAGAACGGGAACAACGGGAGCCACGGGAGCATCGCTCTCGGTCCCGTCAAAGGAGACATCAGAGGCCTTTCGGAAGCGGAGAGTGAAGCAACGTTGGCAACAAAAAACACAGTGATATGGCTATGGGAATATCACCCAACATCACCCAACATATTTCCAGGAAAACTCATCCGGAATCTATAACTGGAAAGTTTCATGAGAATCCATTCGTAATTGGTATCATACTTTTTCCAACCATCAAATGGCTATGGATCAATACCTATACATACCATTTTTAGGGGGATGAACATCCATAAATCCCAGCTATTTTGATGTGAACAGAAGGGGTACAAGGTTTTGACACACTGCCATATTATGGGATTTTCTGGGAATCCTATTGGATGTTGTGAAAAAAAATGTGACTTTATATGGAATTTTGATGGATTTTTTGTATTTCTTCTGGGATCAATTTCGGTGGTTTAAGCCACCAACGATGGGAATTTCATCGTGGTTTTTATATATGGTGGGGACCATGATCCCACCTGGGTATATCTGGTATATCGAACCAGAAAGCCTCCGGAGTTGATGTAAAAGCTTTACCTCAAATGGGGGTTGAAAACTCCCAACTTGGAGGGTTGTTAAGTTGTTATTTGGTTTAGTATATAAAATTGTACCTTCCCGCAACCTAACCTCGCAACGGGAAACGCTCACTTTTTATAGGAACGTCATTTAATTTACAAAGGGGTGGTTTTCCAAGACCGTTTTTGACTACTGGAGAGTAAACAACATCGAAGAATTCAACTTGCCCAAATGACCCTTGCCTGGAATCTTTTGAGGTTTCAGTCCATAAAAAGGATGAACCATCCAGAATCCGAAATAATGTGCTTGGGCTTTCAACTGTACAAATCTTCGTCTTGTTCATACCTTTCCCTTTTTCATTTTTCTGTCTTGAGTGCTCAGTTGAAGTGCAAGATCCACTTAAATGTCTCCAAAATCTGAGGGACAGAACCTATGCTACTTCATTCAGTGGGATGAACACCCAGTAGCTGCCAGTAGCTGCCAGTAGCTGCCAGTAGCTGGATGTGAAAGTCCGGGTACGCCGGGAGAAGCCAGCAATCCCATGTGATTTCCCCACTTAATCCACTCATCCCCCCACTTACAGCAAGCGCCAACAATGCTAATTACTAGCATCTATATCCATCATATCAATTTCCATGTTGTGACTTGACTGCCCATCAACGCCAAATACATCATTGGCATGCATTCGCCATGCGTTGATAAATTCCTTGAAAAACATCTTGTATGTTCATTTAGATGGATAAACTATAACGACCTCACTGTGGGAAATCATTGTTTTATCATCCTGAACCTGGATTTTATGTCCCATATTCTAGCGATGTTTTTTCTTGAAATCGTCATATTCTATCATCTCCAGGATGATTATATATGATTATATATGACTGATTATAAATTTATGTGCCTTACTAGTATTTATTTGATATACAACAGAATACAACAACTAGTTGATCCGTCCCTTCACCGTGCCAGGGAACGCAGTCGCGAGAGACGGCGGGCTGAGGTGGACCCGGATGGGGACCGGCTTTCCCTGTTGCCATGGGCCGCAGGGGTACAAGGTGGTGATTCACTTGGCCAAGTTGGTTTAGAAATTTCAACAACTAAGGTTTATGATAGATATGATATACATAATATATATAATATAAAATATAAATAGCATATATAATATACACATTTATAGTTAATGGGGGCTATAAACCAACAAACATAACTGGGGCACCACCTTACCTTTATCAAACCTGGTCCGAGCTTTCACATATTTCGTGTAGTTTGGATCCTGATTTGGGATGATGGATCCAAAGAGAGTTTGGGGATAGGGAACTCAAGTTCATTGAGCTTGACCAGGACCAGATAGACATTTGCATGAAAAAAACAACATGTTTTAAGGATTTTGAAGGATTCCATCACTTCACCGGATCCAACACACATCCCTAGCGCCCTATGGTTACCATGGTTGCGTTACAAAACTCGACGGTTTTGGTTGTGAGATTTCCATGAATCTTGCTTCAAGCATGGTCAAGACATGCTTGAACACCATTTTCATAGATTTGTCTGGCCCAAATCCCGCTTCATGATTGCTTGATACTTTCTGCGGCATATCTCGAATCCCAACTCTTGATCAGGGAGAAGGCATCACCAGATCAAATCTCTAAAAATCATCACAGTCACATGGGTGTCAATACCTATTACATTTTTAGTGGGTTATTCACATCCATAAATCCCAGCTATGACTTGGGGTTCACCAGGGGTACCAGGGTTTTGACCCATCTCATCCCTGGGGAGGCCCGCGATCGCGGTGACCGCGGCGAGCGCCGCAAGGACCGCAAGGACCGCGAGGGCCGCAACGCCGAGCGCCGCAACGCCGAGGCCTCGCCGCGGCGCCAGGAGCGGCAGACCTCGGAGAGGCCTCGGAGGAGGCCGGGGATGGGCTGGGGATGGGCTTGGGATGCCCCCAAGCTTGGGCAATTTTTTCATCAAAAACCCATGGGGACATTAGTGATGGGATATTCAGTGTTCACATGTGTTCACGATATTATATATATATATATATTATATATACAGTGTTCACATGTGTTCACGAAAAAGTTGATGTATTGATTGTAAATGCAGGAGTTGACTGTACGGAGTTTACCAGAAACGGAGATACAATGTTCTTTTTTCATGTTATATATATAATTATACAGTGGGGAGGATATGATGGTAAAGTATTGGATGTTTATTGTGTCTATTACAAGCACTGTGAGGTCACCTTATTGACTAACAGCCCTGGCTCAGGGATGAACGTGCTGCCGCGGGGGTGGGAAGGCCCAGGGATGTTGGACTGGGAAATACAATGCTTTTTACCAATTGGAATGGGAATGTCATTGGGATTTCGTAGGCTATTTTACCAACAATATGAGTTTGGGCGTGTAAAAATGGGATATACTCAAAAGAGGGTGATTTTAAATGATTTTAATCGAACATATTATGATTACATATACATGAGGCGTTGGGTACCGGGTACCTGAATTTTGGAGACACCCAACGGGATTTTGGGAGAGAACATGACTTGGGTTTTGGAGATTTTGGATGATCGGCTGGTTGGAGAAAAACCAAGTGGCCGACTCATTTGAGCCAAGTTTCCGATTCTTTACCCTCTGGAAGTTTGACATAGCTACGGTATATGAAATTTGGCAGAGATGATATCTCACCAGGTTCCTTTCGTGCCTGTACGGCTACCGTAACCTGCAGCCTGCAACATGAGAAAACACCCTGATTCCAATGTTGTTGTAATCTCATATCATTAAACGTCGTGTATGATTTTGTTGGCTTTAGACAACAGATGTGGTTCTTGAAACATATGCATATATATATACAATTATGCAATATTATACACATGTGTACACATACGATCTCTTGACTCTTGTATGAACTGATCATCTGGAGTCAGTCTCAGTGATTGCTGGCTACCTGTATATACTGTCACCCAGATATTGCACAAAATAGCTAGTGTCTGTATAGAGACATAGAGACATAGATAGAGACATAGATAGCTGCCTCCATGAACAGCGTGAATACATACACAAACACATACATAGCTCACAGCAGAGTGCAGCGCGTCAAACACACGGGGCTCCGTTGTTTTTCACACCACGGTACCAGAATTTTGATCTCCGCATCTGGATGGATTTCAAGGCTGCACTTCGAGTTTTAGTTCGTTTTCTATGATTTGATAGGCAGACGTCTTTAAACATCATGGTATACATAATTATATATATATTATATTATATATATATTCAACTACAGGATAGTGGACCAACTACTCAACCAATCCCAAATTTGATCTTATTTTTTAGTTATTACCAGTAAACATCAGTTTATTGCATCATAAACATCAGTTATTACCCAGCTCACGTCGCCACTGAAATCTAGTCGACGCACGCTGAGGAACGCACAGAGAAACTCTTGGAGAAGATCCAAGGACACCGACCCCCAAAAGTGAGGATTGGGGAGTTGACGACATATGGTTGCATTGAATAATAAAAGATGTATCACCCTTCCAAAACACTGTAAATACCATTAAAAAATACAATATATATATACATATGTCATGATTACATATGTTTTATATTTACTTTTAGTTAGATCATGTATATATATATATACATAGATCGAGAGAGAGAGAGAGAGATAAATCATGACTTTGATTTTCCTAGATCAAGAATGGTGACCTTGGTGGCTTTCCATTGCGACACCCTGGAACGAATCAACGAAATCACGACCACCAAAGAGTCTGATGTCATCGAACATGAAACGGGTTTCACATGGTTTCAGCTATCATTTAGATACAATTTAGAGTGATTTAGATGTGGTTGGTGGTTTGGAACATTTTTTATCTTTCCATTCAGTTGGGAATTTCATCATCGCTGACTTTCACTCCATCATTTTTCAGAGGGGTTGGTATACTCAACCACCAACCAGTTTTATAGGATTTAGTAACTAAATTTAGTACAATCCCAGAAACCCCGAACCAATACATTTGGGTGATCTTGGTTTATTACAATCAGAAATGGCAAATATTTCCCCAACAAATCCCAGAAACCCCTGGTGATTTGCTCCAGGATCCCGGGAGAAGCGAGAATCCAAGGTGCGGAAACGCGGAAACACGGACGGGGCTTTTTTGGTCCAGGTCCAAGCGCGACCGTTGGTTGACCCCATCGAAGTATAGTTACTTAAATACTTAATGTCAGTTAATGTTAGTTAATGTTAGTTATCTATAATTATACTATAGTTATATCATAGTCATATCCCCTATAAACAGGAAGACGCTGCGGGTAAGCCGCTAAGCACAACGAGTAGCGGTAATGTTGACAGTTCAGTGGCAACGGAAGAGGTCCAGCCGGGCGACCAACCTATTGGGATCCCGTTGACAATATCCAACTTCAACCTCTCAATCGAAGTTGACGAATTTGGAGCCGTGCTCTCAAAACTGTGTACAACCTGGTGAAGGGCAGAAGCAGCCGTTGGGACGGCTGAAATTTCGGCTCACTGCGACCGAACCCTGGAATAATGGATTATTTGGGTAACTATCCCAATGTAGCCAGGTAGCCGAACTTTTGAGGCTAAGGAATTAGTATAATTTGGGCAGAAACTATGCTGTTTTGTTTGTTAGAATTGATGGGACTAATGAGGCAAACCCAATGCCATAACTAATTTTTGGAAGGTCAGTCAGATCTCCATTTTGTTGAATTTTTGGATGTGAATAATGATGAATAATGAGGTAAAGCCAAAGCCATTTGCACCATCCCCAATTGGGGTTAATTAAAAGTATGTTTTTGGGTTTAACATGGTTTAGCACAGTATTTTTTTTCCTGAACATTTGACCAATTTTAACCATGTCTTGTCAACATACCCAGTTCTTGGTATCTTGCCACCCCCAGTGGGTGACGAGTTGTTGTATTCCAGGAAGAAGACCTTTTTGTGCTGCTTGGAAACTTGAGGACACACCCATGTAAACATAATCATTATACATATATATCATACTGTGTGTATGTGTATATCTGTATATATATATATATTGTAGACATAGAGTAACCCCAAAACGGGATAGAACATGATAGAATCGTCAAATCCGAATACTTTTTCTGTGGTTGCTATACCGTCCGGTAGTCAAACGTGGCAAGTCACTGGTGAATCTCCTGATTCCAGCTCGGTGAATGTTTGGAATTTGTGTCACAGGATACTGCAATATTTCCAGAGCATTGGTTTCATATCACCCTTCCCAAAAACGCTCCAGAAGCCAACATTGCTTGCCACTGCTTGTATCTTGTCACTCTTATGGCATCATAAAATTCTGAACCAATGGTAACTTCCTAGGCCACGACTACTGCACTACAGTACTACTAAAATCTTATGGGTTTACAATTTTGTATCCGCTAGTTATCATTGTCAACTGGCTTGTCCTCAGCAATTTTGGCCCAGTTGGATCTCCCAGTCACAGGCGACCAAGCAAGAGCCGAACGATGTCAACAAGGTCTACCAAGCAGCGCCCGTGGATTTCATCACATTTCACCAAGGGTTACACAAGCGGTGAACGGATGATTTTTGTGGCCAGGTTGGAAGAACGATCTGTACAGAAAAGTAAGATCCAGTCATATCCAATCCTAAGATATCCTAAGATAATGTGGGTTTGCTTTTTTTTGGGTGTTACTATCTATCCCTATGGATCCAAATACTACCTGAGAAGGCACTTAACTAAATCACACCCCCAGTCACCTCAGCCTTGGATGGGAGGTTGAATCCGTCAGTTTTTTGCTATACATGGAAGATAACCACAACCAGCAAAAGGTGACATTTTTTTTTGTGGGCTATCAAAGTATATACATATATATATATATATACATACATATACATATATATATAATTATACATATACATAAATATATGTGTATATATATATATATGGCCATGATATCCCATGAAATGCTCCATAAGTTGGGATTTAACATGATATACCCCATTACTATGGCCTTTTTCCACAAACCCAAAACGCCATGATATCCCATGAAATCCCCATGGCCAGGCACCACCCTTTGTGGCCACCAGGGCCAAAGCGGCTCCCAGGCTGGTGATGGAACCTGGGTTTTGTTGGGGAAATTTTTCCACGGAAATTTATGACCCATAGGATCCATGTATGGTATATATGGTAACATTTACCATCAATATACCCCAAATGTCAGCATATATACCATACATGGATCCTATGGGTGATGAATCTACCTGGGGATTGAACTGATTGAACATTGTGACCTAAGTTGATCCAAATTGTGTTTTTTCTTTGCCAATCAAAAACGGATTTTGAAACCACAACCTAACAGTTTTTATTGTTGATCCGTGTAAACATTTGATGGCATCCGAGCTCAGGATTTTGCTTACACCAAAAAACGAAGAACCAAGTGATTTTGATGTATTGAAAGGAACAAACTTGGTGATTTTTGCACCCACAGAACATTGGATTTCTGATTTTATAAACCAATTGTTTTTTGACAAACAGTGGATGATTTGAACATTAAACTAGGGTAACTAGTCCAATATAAATGTGGGATTTCGTAGCTCCTGCCCAGGGCCATTGCCATCCCGTTCACCAACCACGACTGGGGGTCATGGTAAACATAATCCCAAATAGAGGTATACAATGGTGTATGTAAGCATATATAGACATACGCAATTTGATAAACCTCAAACTTGGAGATGGTTTTAGAATCTCAACGCATTCGTAGTTGCCCAAGATTTTTGGGGCCGAGATGAACAAAAAATTCATCACCTTCCAAAATTGGGTACAGCCCCCTCAAAAAACACCACCCATGCGAAAATCTTGTGAGTGGCAGGCTGTGGGAGTGCGCTGTTTCATAAGTTTTGATCATCACACACATATTGAAAGATGATTGAATGCATTGAAGAAAAAGGGATGGGGGTGTTGTGAGCACCATTAATTTTGCATTTTTGACATTTCATTTCTGCAAAAGATACCAAACCCTGTTCTTTCCAAAACCAAACATTGTTGCTTCTGTAACAAAAGCGACCACAGTGCATTCTCAACAGCTCTCCCAATGTCCTACATAGATACATAGTTTTAGCCAAAACAAACATGAACACTAAATAAAAACAACAAAAAAACAAGTGCAAATGCCTTTCCAAAGAGTGCAGCATTGCTTCAAAAATGTATAGACTCTACATCTCTACAGGAGTTTCGCTCAACATATGCAATAGTCCTTTTGGACATGTGCATATTAAACAGGCACCAATTTATGCAATATGTTCTCTATAAAAAAATGAAGGAACATAAACATGCAAACATCACTTGTAAAATGACTTTGCATAAAGAACACCATTCCTCCATGTATGCAACAACCTTTTGCAAACATTGTTGCATTCTTTAAAAGATGTGTAGCATTACTTCCCATTTTCAAGGAGAACCCTCCTATGTATGTACTGAATGTTTTTTGAAATCATGGCATTCCTGTAGGAAAATGTAGTATGCTGTTTTGCAAGATTTAATCTATTCTTGAACTACTACAGCATGGTTTTTCAAAGAGTGCCATTTTGCTGACACATTGATTGAAACATTTTTACCTTTGAAAGTGCAGATTCTTGCTTGCAAAGTGTGCGACATTATTGTAAGGAAGTGTAGCACGAGCCTACTGTAGATTCCATTGATGGTGCAAAGGCCTGTTTATATAAACATATGTTTTTTTTGTTGTAAAGCAAGTATCGCACCACCTTCTGCAATATGGCCTTTCAAAGAGTGCAACTGTTCTATGGATATGTTGTGTTGTTTTGAAAGGGTGCTATGTGACTCGACTTTCAAAAGGTCTTCAAAATGTGCAATATCTTATCTTTGTAAACAAAGTAAAATATGGCTTCAAACAATGCAAAATACATTGTAATTATAAATCATAAATCTTAATGCAAACTTATTCAAATATAATTCTGGCAATGTAAACAAGTGCTACATGCCTATGTAAAGAGTGCTGTAGCACAATCACCTACAATATCTCTTTCAAACTAGTGCAGCATTTGCTCGAAAAAAATGTCATATTACTCCAAACTGTGCAAAATCTGTGTCAATCAAGGAAAGCCTTCCTTCTCAATGGACAAATTTCTGGTGAGTTCGGGCCATGTATTTTTGGAGGCCCATAATTTTGAACCATCTGGCAAGCTGGCCATCTGGCCAACAGCTTCCACCAAAGCCTTCCTTTGAAGATGCACATATGTGTGTATATATATATATGTATTATATATGTATGTATATGTAGTTTTAAACGTGAATAGTTTCTTGGCAAATCTGTGTAGCATCCCTTCAAGAAAGTGTAACATGAGTCTACAGCAGATTCCAGTGGTCGTACTACTTCAGCAAAGTGTGCCACCAATTTATGCAACATGTTTTTCAAAAAAGTATAGCATGAAATTAAGGTTATTATCTAGGACATGGCCGAACATTTCAAAATTGGAACCCACAGTCTTGATCCTCAGACCCAGTATGTTCATAGCTGCAGTGGTTAAACGATTGGTTCCTGCAAGCTTGAACGCATGAAGACACCGAACGGCCAGTGTACAAAAAGGTGCAGATGGCTGAAAGTGACCAAAACCAAAAAAACTTGGAAAAGCAAAAAAAAACAAAAAAAACAATTTTCAGAGAGTCTTGGCTGGCCCCCCCCCCTTCCAAAGAGTCTAGAAATATGTTTGGTTTTTCCAAGGTTTTTACCAAGTGTGGGGTACTTCAAGGAAGCTGGCATGAATCACAGGCAAAGCTGTCAAAGTGCCTTTGGGAGTGCAGTAAAACATCTCAAAATATCATCCTAAATCATGGGAAAACTGCACTCCCAGGGGCTGCCGATCTGAAAATTTTCTAGAAAAAACAACAACTTGTCGTGTGAATATATACAAGTAAAAACATAATTATAAATATATTCATACACCAATATATATATTCATACACCAAAAAACAAAACAATACCAATTTATGTTGTTTTTGTTTACTTTTAGTGTTGTTGATTACATCTATAGTATGTCCTTCAGGCGCCCAGCCACCACCACAGCGCCTCCACCAAGGCAGGGATAAAGAAACTCCTTTGGGACGTTAGCCAATGGTTTGCCAAACATGGATGATGGTTTCAAAAAAGAAATGGTAAGGGATCATAATCATGTTTATTCTGCAAGTGAATGCAGCAAAGGCGAGAATTTGACATGCAGCGAAAGTGACAGAAAGTGAACGTGTATATATATATATACACACATATATATATACATACCTACATAATTATATATAATTATTATATATGTATTTGATATGTAGTATATGATAACAACAACACAGAATTATAGTTGTATGCATATCAGATAGATATGGTGTTTTAGTCATACACGTATGTATATAGATATATAAGTAATAAGTATATATGTATATTGTTTATATAAATATGTCCAACAAATAATGGGAACCACCGCAAAAGCATGGATACAACCTTTGATGCAATGAGTTTGTAAGTAGCATACCAGAACTGCGATGTAGCCGACATCGGTGTGGCTTCCCCAAAAGGGGTGTTTTCTTGCAATCCTGCAACTTCAAGTGGAACAGAATAGAGGAGCCTGTGACTTACCAAACAACTCTCTAAGTGTAGACGATAGATTCTGTTTTTTTTCAAAAGCCATACGCATACATAATATATATAATATATATATAATTATATATATATACATATATACTGCACGAGGTCTGTGTTTTGGTTGTTTTTAGTGCTTACTGTATGGGTGTTATATCAAGCAATGATACTGGTTAATATGGGTTTATTTGAGCGCTCTGAAAGTCACAAATTCGTAGATTTTCATCGAAACTATGTGAACATCCTGCATCTCGTGATGGGCCTGGATATAAATACTTGATCACTTCACAATGCGTAGAAGAAGAAACGATCCGGAACCGTTGGGTGAAAGGGCTAAACTCGATTGAATATGAGTGTAAGCACAGTATGTTGTCTTCAAACTATCTTGTTCAAATTGGTCTATTTTGACCATATACAGTAGGTGCCTGGTTACGAAAGGGTTTAACTCACAGCTATCCCAAGAAATAGTGGAGTATGACTTTACTTTTCAGATTTTTCAGCATCCCACTAAGCAAGAGGTGCAAATTATCATGGGTGACGGCACATCATCGACTGTGACGGTATTGGCTATCCCGTCTTGAATGGGCTATGATCATGGCTATTCATGACATCCCTGGACTGAGATGTACAGTAGTTACCATAAATGATCTTGACTGCAACGTATATAACGTATGAACTATACCCATTGTTACTAACAGAATTTGTTGTTGGCTACATCAACAAACATCAATAAATCAACATCAATATAAGAATCAAAAAAAACAACCTTGAAAAAACATCAATAAACATATATAATATATTTTTTCGAAACAATTCGAAGGGAGATATGACCCTCCCCCAACAGCAGACCTGCGACCTGTAGGCCGAAGGGAACAGCTGGAGCTGGAACGGCTGCACGCGTGCCGGCCGGAGATCTCAATGGGTAAGATAAATACAATGCATATGCATTCATATAATGTGTGCATACTTGATGAATTTTGTGTATATACATCATATGATCACATATATGCATATATATATATGATTTATATATATATATATATATGATCAGATATATGTTATATATATATACACATACATGTATACATATATATATACACATGTGTTTGATCAGAGGTTTTGACATGATGGTTGTTGAATAGACACTGGTGCTATGTACGGGTTTCTCATCCTGACATACATTGTATGATCGTGAGCTCGTCACGTCTTGGAAGTGCCCTTGCAGTTTGCAAGGATTTACAACCCGCATAGAAACGTATATATATACCCTCTGGTTATTTAACATAGCCACGGAAAATGGCCCATTTATAGATGGTTTACCTGGTTTTACCTATTAAAAATGGTGATTTTCCATGGCTATGTTAAATAACCAGATGGTATATATACATAACTGGGGATATTCCATTCATCTAACTCGGCTACTCTACTGTTACTATCCACTTACGATGGGCCAACTGCTTGGGTTGGGGTCGCTACTAGTAGTCCAAGAATTGGCAGTGTCGATATGGTTCGAAATATCGCCATGTTTGCAGGGTTTCAGTTGAATACATGTTCGGCAATTAATCAATTTCAAAACCTCAGTTGGTTGATGATATGTTCGAGGGAGTTATACCACCTACAAATTTGGGATTATCATCATCAACTATATCAGTAGGAGGGATTTTACAGTCCCTGTAGATCCAAATACTTCCTAAGAAGGGACTTGATCTCTCAAATCACACCCCGAGTAATTCCTCAAAGGTTACAGCTGGATCCACAGGTATACATATATATATATATATATATACATAGTTATACATATATATATATACATAATTATATATATATACATAATTATGTATATATATATACATATCATACCATATCAAGTCGGTTAGTTGTATCATGTTATATACCACTATATCATATTCTATCCCTCTAAATCCCGATTTTTAATGGTCACTAGACCCACCATCAATTGATTTGGAGGCAGACCCCCTATTTGTTGCAAATGGTTCAGCTGATCAGTGCAGATCTGAAGATTTGTTGGTGAAATCTACCGGACACGATAAAATTTTACCAGTAATTTTTTTTTGCGTTTTACTGTGAATTTTACTGTGAACTGTCCGATCATCCAATTCCAACTCAGATTTCAATTCGAATAGTCCGATGATGGGACAATTTCTGGGAATCCGTATCAAACCTCAAAAAAGGTCCCGGAAAATGATGACAGTTCATTTGTTGACGAGAAATGGCAGATGTTCAAATGATGGACATTTACCTTTTGACCATTTGACTTCATTTTAGTCCATAATTTATGTTTATATGGTAAATTAGAAGTTCATCATTTTAGTTGTTGTGCATCATAAATATGTTTATCATCATGCTAGTTCATCATTTGCCATGTTTCTGCTTGTTGTATTCCATGGGATGATGCCACTTTTTGGAGGCAGGGCGGATTGTCACATGTTGCTGGACATTCTGAATTTGATGGACATGGACTTAGGGGTTGATGTATATGTCTATATAAGTATGCGTGTATAATGTGTGTATATGCCAAAACATGGTAATTCAACTGGGTAAAACGAGTTTATTAAAGTTTTCGAGCCATGGGGAATATCACCCAACATCACCCAACAAAATTTCCAGGAAAACTCATCCGGAATCTATAACTGGAAAGTTTCATGAGAATCCATTAGTAATTGGTATAATACTTTTTCCAACCATCAAATGGGTATGGGTCAATACCTATTAATACCATTTTTAGTGGGAATGAACATCCATTTACCAGCTATTTTGGGGTTCACCAGGGGTACAAGGTTTTGACACACTGCCAAATGTAGATTTCCATTTGTAGACAGACTCAAATGTGATAGCACCAAGGCAGTTGCAGCACCCAAGGCGCGGCGAGAAACTCGGAGTAGTGATGCTACGTGGTTTTCATTAAATACTTATCAAAAGAGTGGGGCTGGTGACCCATGGTATATTTTTATACCTCAAATGTATATATACATGTTGGATGATGTTGGTCAGTTCAGTTCTATAAAGTTATAAAGGTATATTGATTATTCTACATGTAGCTCTTTTTTCCCCACCTGCCAGGCGAGGGTCTCTAGAGTTTAGGAAAGGTGCAACTCCTCCTTCTCTTCCTCTTCCTCTTCCTCTTCCTCCTCTGCCCGCTGGGCACACCTGGACCCGAACCCTATCGCGAGCTCCCGATGCAGCTGGACCCGAACCCTATCCGGAGCTCCAGATGCAGCTGGGCATGCCTGGGCCCGAACTCTGTCGCGAGCTCCGGATGCAGCTGGGCACGCATGGGCCCGAACACGTGCCAGTGTAGAATGCCGGAAAGAATGCCAGACAGACTGTCAGAATATATGCCAGATAGAATGCCAAAAAGAATGCCAGATGGAATGTCAGAATATGTCAGAATATGTCAGAATATATATCAGAAAGAATGCCAAATAGAATGTCAGAATATATATCAGAGAGGATGTCAGTTGGTGGGGGTCACTTGAAGAAAGTGATTTTGTAAGGGTATATTACCCTCTGGTTATTTAACATAGCCATGGGAAAATCACCATTTTTAAGTTCGGTAAACCATCTATTTCTATGGGCCATCTATACCATGGCTATGTTAAATAACCAGAGGGTATATCACAAAAAAGCCTTGGTACAGATTCCGTGGATCCGATGTTGCGTTGCAACGATTCCATGGCAGGTGGCCGCTAAAGCTAAAGCCGTTGCAGATGGCAACGAGCCGCCTGGACCTGCCGGATGGGTTCACCATTGGTGTATTGTATGACAGTCAGTGTATTAATCTTATGAAGTAAACATAAACTGAGAAGTGAAACATAGTGAAACATAGTGAAACATAGTGAAACATTCATTCATTTTTACAGATTGGAACCACAATTAGTTTGAAGGTGGGTTTTAAATGGTCATTTGCATGTTGCATGTTATATTTACGTCCATCCTTCTTGGTGATTCCAACTTTCAGACAGCATTTGGGACTGACTTGCTGGGAGCTTGCGACTGGGATCTTTCATGGGGTCAACTAGAGCTGGGGACATACTCACGGTGCCATCTTGAAGTTTAGCCCAAAATATCTCAATATATGTGCAAGACCATATTGAGGTTGCAGTGGATTGTGTGATTATTTATTTGTTGCCCGTGTATCTTCAGTATCTTTTCAGCATACCTTGGTTGGTTGTTTCTGTAAATAAAAGAGGTGTGTGAAGTCTCAGCAAGGGCTACATCAGCGGGAGCACAAGCCATTGCCCCCAAGTCAAGTGGTCACAGTTCCCACCGAGCGACCACTTAGTGGTCACAATTTCTGACTATGAGCCACATTCTGAAGGGAATTGGCAATTCCAAAAACACCTGGAAATACCCTTCGTTTCACATGCTTTCATTGATACCCTGATTTGCCCCATTGGCCTTGTCCCCTTTCAGATTGCTCAGATTTTCGGGTCTCATTTTGGATCCCAAAGTAACCTATTTGTTTGGATTTCCCACTGACTCGCGCCGTTACATCCCTAAACTTCGTATGTAATCCCCACCCCCAGTAAGAACATGTGGAACACCATGTGTGATAAATCGAATATGATTGGTGTTATATCATCCCATTATACACCCGTTGCGTATCTATTCCATACATGCACACGGGTTGCAAGGACGTATATATATATAGAATTATAGCCCCATTGCATCACCATCATTTCATGATATTGCATTGATGTACGATTCTATTCCCATTGTACATTTGTATATGCAAATATGCGTACACACGCACATATATATATGCATATACAACACGCGTATATATATATATACATAATATATGCATATATTATATATAGTATATATATATATACAATATAGAAATTACAAATCATACAACATACAACGTCTGAAAATATATCACAAGTACCTCCCAATGGGATCCTAAGCGTCACCTCATCGAATCCGAGGTCTGAGTATACCTACACCGAAGCGTGACATGGCAACCCGGGGTATATCGAGGATGGGATCAATAGAGGGATACCCCTTAAACTCCATTTGTGTTAGTAAATGGTATATAATAAATATAAATTATAAATGGAAATATGTATGAATAGAAATGGTACCAAACCAACCACATCATTGGGTACATCAGGAAACTACTAGCAGCTTTTCATGGGATTTGATGGTTTGTTGTGCTATAAACAGGTGAAACATGTCAAACTCAACATTGAATTCCAGTATCGCTGGTCAGTAGGCTAGAAACTGAGCGATCGGTCCAGAGGATCCATGGTATAGATCATTTCAATTTAACGTGTCCTCAACATCACTGACTAGGAGCAGGTATAACATGGTATAGACCACTATTAACCACTGGTATATTTTTGCAGGTAGAAACCCTGGAAATCTCCTATTTTTCCAAGGTCTGAGTACACTTATGAGGACGTGGAGGGTGAGGAGCCGCAAACACTTGGTTTTGGAGCTCTGGGTTGTTGGGAGTTCAACTGAAAATTCATGTGAAAAGCCTGAGAATGAATGGGATGGTTGTGGATATGTGTGGGAAAATATGTTTGAACACAGAAAATTCATGGGACGCTAGTATTGACCCCATACTTTTCGAAAAGGGGTTATGAAATGGGCAAAATTGGTCCATTTTTGAGATGATGTATCTTGAGATGGTTTAGTCTTGGATTTGCCACAAAATGTTTCTGGTTTCGCTCCTCTTTTTGTGACAATGATCCCAATCATTGAATCATCGTGACTGAACGTATAATCGTGTATTCAATGTTTTGATGGCTGATCTTAATTAATGTATATATTTCCATACATTGTACATTGTATGTAGGTTGTGATAATGATCTCAATGACAGTGATTATGTTATAGGATGAATAATTAAAGTAATTGAGATGAATTGAATAATCAGTGGTTGAATATGTTAACTTCCACCGAAACACGTATTTGATTAATCTATAACCCATAGGATCCATGTATGCTATATATGGTAACATTTACCATCCATATATCCCAAATGTTAGCATATGTCCCATACATGGATCCTATGGGTAATATGTTCAATGTTTTGGTGGAAGTTGTTTCACCGCAAGCCACATGACATGGCTCCACCACAGAATCATGGCTTTTTACTGATAGCCATTGGCAATCAAACATGGCCCAAATCCACTGAATATTTCTTAAAACGTAGATGTTGTCTATAGTCTATATATGCTATATGTTCTCTATATCTGTTTTTTTTTGTCCAGTTTGTTTTAAATAGTGTACTGTACTGTTGATGAGTCCAGCACTAGATATACCGGGTATCATGTGCAGGAGGAAGAAGAGGCGGTGGAAGTTGAGGACGATGAAGACGACGAATGAGGCGGTGGAAGTTGCCGCGGGTGGATTCCATGACTTGGGTGTAATTTTCTCAAGGGATATCATGGGGAATGGGAAATATCACCATAACAGGCCAGCACTGGGGAGATTTGGATTTGATGGGATATTTTACCTAATGATATTTGGAACTGCTGGCCAGCACAGATAATTGAATGTATAGGGACGGAACAGAAAAACTATAAAACATTGGACTTATAAATAGACTGATAGAGAGTGGGATGCTATGCGATGCTAAACTGCCAGATCTCATCAGCCCTGAGATCCCGCGTACAGTGCCACAGGAGCTGCCAAGGCTCACATTGATTCGTTTCCGCTTTGGTAAACTTCAAATGGTTCTTACAGATTCAGATCTAATTTTCATGACGATTCAAAACACTGTCTTGTAACATGGCATGGGCAATCCACCATTTATTGATGGCTTTCCCATGACATTACCATTTCCCATTGCCATCTTTGAAAAAACCAGAGGAGACTGTGTTTTGTCCGCTTTCTGCCAAAAGTTACCCTCTGGTGAACTAACATAGCAATGGAAAATCACCATTTTTAATGGGAAAATCCACTATTTCTATGGCCATTTTCCATTGCTATGTTAGTTCACCAGAGGGTAATTGGTTTTCATAGCATCTTCGGTCATCCTTCCCGCCGGAGGCAACCTCTAAGCCTTGGATTTCATTGCGCTGATGCCGCATCGCGACATCTACAGCATGCGCAAGAGACAGAACAATTTCAATCAGAACATCCCAACACTGAACACATTGAAAACACAACCAGACGAAAACACATCATGCCATCCAAATCAATATTAAAAAATTATCAAATATAATATATATAATTAATTATATGATTTAATTTATATATATATATATATATACATATAATGTTTTAATTTAAATATATACCAAATATAAATGCTAGCGTTAAGTCATATTAGCTCGTAAAAATCATATTGGGAGGTTGTACGCCCGGAAAAAAAATATGGCATTACTATAATTTTTAGTGATTAAAATAATTTATTATTTTGGGGACCGTTTACTTGGGAAAAAAATATGTAAATTTTTATATTATAACAATTTTTATTTTAATATTTATAATTAATTATTTATTTAAGGGACATATATTGGTTATTACGAAAGCCAGCCGGGAAGCTGGCTAGTTGCTATTTGCGAACGAAGTGAGAATAGGGGGTCTGGGGGGCGTAGTGGTCAAACGGGTCAAAAATCGGGAAAATAGGTGGTAAAAATGGGCCGGCCACTAGTATGGTTTTGCAGGGAAATGTACCAGGCGGCAAAACAGTGACGGTGGGTATCGATTCCCCCCAGGTCCGGTTTTCTGGGGGTTTCTGGGCTCAGTCAATGGACAGATAGATGGGCCAGCTAGTTAGAGGAGATTGGAGAGAGAAGGACATTGGGTGAAAAGTATGTGCAAGAAGGGTCTCTGGGTGAAGAGTCTCTGGGTGAAAAATATATGGGTGAAAAGTCTGTGCAAGAAGAGTTTCTGGGTGAAAAGTCTCTGGGTGAAAAGTCTCTGGGTGAAAAGTCTGTGCAACAAGAGTTTCTGGGTGAAGAGTCTCTGGGTGAAAGTATATGGGTGAAAAGTATGTGCAAGAAGAGTTTTTCTGGGTCAAGAGTCTCTGGGTGAAAAGTATATGAGTGAAAAGTATGTGCAAGAAGAGTTTCTGGGTGAAGAGTCTCTGAGTAAAAAGTATATGGGTGAAAAGCATGTGCAAGAAGAGTTTCTGGGTGAAGAGTCTCTGGGTGAACAATCTGTGCAAAAAGAGTTTTTGGGTGAAGAGTCTCTGGGTGTAAAGTATATGGGTGAAAAGTGCAAGAAGAGTTTCTGGGTGAAGAGTCTGGGTGAAAAGTATAGGGGTGAACAGTATGTGCAAGAAGAGTTTCTGGGTGGTGCAAGAAGGGTTTCTGGGTGAAGAGTCTCTTGGTGAAAAGTATATGGCTGAAATGTTTGTGCAAGAAGAGTTTTTGGGTGAAGAGTCTCTGGGTGAAGAGTATATGGGTGAAATGTTTGTGCAAGAAGAGTTCCTGGGTGAAGAGTCTCTGGGTGAAAAGTATATGGGTGAAAAGTATGTGCAAGAAGAGTTTCTGGGTGAAGAGTCTGTGGGTGAAAAGTTTATGGGTGAAAAGTACTGTATGTGCCAGCAGAGTTTCTGGGTGAAGAGTCTCTGGGTGAAAAGTATATGGGTGAAAAGTATGTGCAAGAAGAGTTTCTGGGTGAAGAATCTCTGGGTGAAGAGTATATGGGTGAAATGTCTGTGCAAGAAGAGTTCCTGGGTGAAGAGTCTCTGGGTGAAAAGTATGAAGAGTCTCTGGGTGAAAAGTATATTGGTGAAAAGTATGTGCAAGAAGAGTTTCTGGGTGAAGAGTCTACGGGTGAAAATATGTGGGTGAAAAGTATTTGTAAGAAGAGTTTCTGGGTGAAGAATTTCTGGGTGAAAAGTATATGGGTGGAAAATATGTGCCAGAAGAGTTTCTGGGTGAAAAGTCTGTGCAATAAGAGTTTCTGGGTGAAGAGTCTCTGGGTGTAAAGTATATGGGTGAAAAGTATGTGCAAGAAAAAATTCTGGGTGAAGAGTCTCTGGGTGAAACGTATATGGGTGAAAAGTATGTGCAAGAAGAGTTTCTTGGTGAAGAGTCTATGGGTGAAAAGTATATGGGTGAAAAAATAGTGCAAGAAGAATTTCTGGGTGAAGAATCGCTGGGTGAAAAGTATATGGGTGAAAAGTATGTGTAAGAAGAGTTTCTGGGTGAAGAGTCTCTGGGTGAAAAATATATGGGTGAAAAGTATGTGTAAG